GGCGGGAAAGCGACGGCGGATTTTCCGGGCTGGAGCCGAGCGGAAGGGCGAAGCGGGCGGGAGAGAACGGCGTTACGGTACCTGGATGAGCCTGTCTGCCAAGGCAGCGCTTTCCTACGGGAGAGCCCCCGCGGAAGGAAAGACGGAGGGAGGAAAGAGAGAGAGAACGACAAGGCACCGCGCCGGTCACAGAGCGGCTCCCTGCTACGGCTAGAAGCAAAAGAAGAGAGCGAAGCCCAGGCGGAGAGAAGAGCCCGAGAGCGCCCGGCCCGGAGCTGCCGCTTCCCTCGGGGCCGTTCCCGGGGCGAAGGATCGGGAAGCGGAGGCTGTTTCGGCCACGGCGCAGAAACGCCCGGGCGCAAGGAAACCAACGCGGTGGAAACAAGCAGAAACCCCCCAAAAAAGCAAATCCTGCTGCGCTGGCCCTTCGCAAGCGGGCTTGGCCGCGCTGTCCCCTCGGGGCCGAGAGGTGGCTTGGAAGGGGGACATTCCCAGGGCGCCGGAGCTCTCACCTTCTCCAGCGTCTCGATGCGCTGCTTGAGCAGGCGGTTCTCGGTGCGGAGCCGCGGCGGAGGGAGAATCGGGATGGGATGAGCCGGGAAGCGGCGTCGGAGGCGCCGGCCCCGGAGGAGAAAGCGCTCACCTTGATCTCGATCTGCTCCTCCATCTCCTTGTTCTTGATGGCGGCGTATTCCTTCTCCAGGCTGCGGCCGGTGGGAAGGAGGGACACGCGGATGAGGCCGCTTCCCGGCACGGCGGCGCGCGGGGAGCAGGGGGAACCACTCACCGCTTCATCTTCTTGGGGTTGTACTTGACCTGGTAGGCCTTGAGGATGAGCTTGTCCGGGCAGCTGTCGAACTGGTGGGGAATGACCTTCTGGAAGAACTGCGGGAGCGACGGCGAGGGCTCAGGTGGGACCGTGGCCAAGGGGGAGAATCGGGGCCGCGGGGGGGATCGTGGCCATGGGGTGGATCATGACCATGGGATGGATCATGGCCATGGGGCGGATCGAGACCATGGGGTGGATCATGACCACGGGGGGGATCATGGCCATGGGGCGGATCGAGACCATGGGGTGGATCATGATCATGGGGTGGATCATGACCACGGGTTTGATCGTGGCCATGGGTGGATCATGGCCATGGGGTGAATCCTGACCACGGGGTTGATCGTGGCCATGGGTGGATCATGGCCATGGGGTGAATCCTGACCACGGGGTTGATCGTGGCCATGGGTGGATCATGGCCATGGGGTGAATCCTGACCACGGGGTTGATCGTGGCCATGGGTGGATCATGGCCATGGGGTGAATCCTGACCACGGGGTTGATCGTGGCCATGGGTGGATCATGGCCATGGGGTGAATCCTGACCACGGGGTTGATCGTGGCCATGGGTGGATCATGGCCATGGGGTGAATCCTGACCACGGGGTTGATCGTGGCCATGGGTGGATCATGGCCATGGGGTGAATCCTGACCACGGGGTTGATCGTGGCCATGGGTGGATCATGGCCATGGGGTGAATCCTGACCACGGGGTTGATCGTGGCCATGGGTGGATCATGGCCATGGGGTGAATCCTGACCACGGGGTTGATCGTGGCCATGGGTGGATCATGGCCATGGGGTGAATCCTGACCACGGGGTTGATCGTGGCCATGGGTGGATCATGGCCATGGGGTGAATCCTGACCACGGGGTTGATCGTGGCCATGGGTGGATCATGGCCATGGGGTGAATCCTGACCACGGGGTTGATCGTGGCCATGGGTGGATCATGGCCATGGGGTGAATCCTGACCACGGGGTTGATCATGGCCATGGGTGGATCATGACCATGGAGTGGATCGTGGCCACGGGGTGGATCAAGACCATGAGGCGGATCATGACCACAGGGTTGATCGTGACCATGGGAGTGAATTCCGACCATGGGGTGGATCATGACCATGGGATGGATCGAGACCATGGGAGTGAATTCCGACCATGGGGTGGATCATGGCCATGGGGTGGCTCATGGCCACGGGGCGGATCGTGGCCGCGTGCGCTCCGGGCTCCCGGCCTCCCACCTGGGACATGCCCTCCATGTCCAGCTGGATGAGCTCGGCCTGGTTGACCTGCAGCAGGGCCATTCCCACGCGGAAGACGATCTCCAGCCCCTGCAAGGAAGCGCGAAGGGGCCGGCTCGGGTTGCTCCCGCGCGGAGCATCCCGTCCATCCGGCGCCGCTCCAAGACCAAACGCCCCGTGTTCTCTCCAGCGGGATGTGGCTCCGTGCCGCCCCGGCGTCACCGCGGCCCCCGGTACCTCGTACATGAAGATGTCGAAGACCCGCGTGGCCACCGGCAAGGGGA